TCAACGATGACATTTTTACGTTAAGAAGACGTTTTGACGTGATTTATAACGTAACTTGACGTAAAAAATAACGTTAAACAAACGTCATTTTGCTACCTGGGGACGTCACAAGCGCTACTCTCGCCGCAGGGGGTCGTTTGCTAGCCCCGCTAATTTCGTTTTTTTGTTTTCGATTTATCAGAAAAATAAAGGGTTTCTAGATGCTTTAACGCTAAATACGTGTTTTGTGGACCCAGAACCATCACTTTTTATTACAATTGAAAATAGTGGACATTCCTATAGGGAATTTGCATAGCTATTGTGGCGCCATCTAGTGAAAGAAACATGTACAAAAGTTATACGAGTATCCCTAACCCTACATTAAATTGTTTATAAAATTTAAAATTATGTGACTACTGCACTGTCCAGACACTGCCGACAGAAAAATATCTGCACTGTGCCAACTAAAAACCATCGATACTGTCCAAATAATTTAATTAGATCATATAAAGTTACAGTTATATTCAAAATGGCTTGCATTCCTTGGGATTCAGTGTATTAATAGTTATTTTTATATTAAGTTCGCAAAATGAGTGTTTCTTCAATGGTACCTAAGAATGTCAATTTTCACAGGTCAGGTGGAGGCCAGAAATTCATTCAAAGGTAGGCCCATAAACACTGTCGCATACAAAATACAAACAACATTTTTCCTGCGAGCACGAGCGTGCGCAAAGTAGTACTTTTCCGCGCGCATTTCCGTGTTCTAAATTACACTTCCCTTAGAATGAATTTTTGGCCTCGACCTGAACTGTGAAAATTGACACTCTTAAGTACCATTAAAAAAACACTCATTTTGCGCACTTAATACAAAAATAACTATTAATATACTGAATCCCAGCGAGCAATGCAAGCCATTTTGAGTAGGGCTTCGCGAGACCACAAGACTAGTCTTGGTCTTGTCTTGGTCTTGGTAGCAAGACCAAGACTTGACGTTCAATACCAAGACCAAGACCAAGACTCTCTCTCAAGACTCTCGTCTTGGTCTTGGAAAAAAAAATCTACTCAATATTTATAAAAATATTCAAATTCTTAAATCTATCTACTTTTAATGTCTTTTAATTAAATCAATTCATCAAATTTATTTTTTTCAAATTCATGAGAAGGTAGGTTTATTCTTATATGATGGTTCAAATAGTTAATTTTTTTCCCCGAAACAGAATGGCAATTTTATGGTGTGTTTGTCAACTTTCCTGTTCCGTTAATAAAAACTATAATTTAAGAATTGATGTTTGTTCCTCTGTGTTGTGGAATGTTTCATACAGTATTTTTTGACATGAAACGCTCTTGCTGTTTAAAATAGCCTATGAAGAAGACCAAATGCATGGTCGAAACGTCGCCATAATTTTTTCCGAAGGGAGTTTCTTTTTTTATTTCTGAAGTCCGAAACCCATTATCTCTGCTTTGTCGTTATGTTATGTATATTTTAAAAATTTGGTATAAATTTTTTTCAAGACCAAGACCAAGACCAAGACCAAGACCAAGACTGAGCCAGTCTTGTCTTGGTCTTGAAACATCAACACCGAGACCAATACCAAGACCGCATTTATTTTTCGTGACCAAGACCAAGACTGGCCAGTCTTGGTCTTGGTCTTGCGAAGCCCTAATTTTGAGTATAACTATAAGTTTATGTGATATGATAATGAAATTATCTGGACCGTACAGATGGTTTTTAGTCCGCACTGTCTGGACAGTGCAGATAGATTTCAGTCGTACCAGTGTGATTATTTAAGTGTGCAACATATGAGGATTTTTTTTAGTAATAGCACAACCCAAATACAAACAAGGCCAAAAGTTGGTGCATGCCTGTAATCATATTAGGTGCACTTAGAATGGTTGCAAGTCAAACAGCATACAGGGTAGCCCAAACAATATCAAAGCTGTACTGTAAAGTACCCTTATTTTAGAAAATTCAGCAAAATGTTATGGAGAAAAGTTGTTTGGAATTAAAAGTTATGCCTAAATACCAAAACATAGCCTCCTAAGATTTTTTTTATTTTTTTTTCGAAAAAAATCTATAATTTCTAAATTTTTTTTATTTTTTATTTCCGCCCTTAATACATTCAAAAATTAATTAAAATCAAAATAATTTGACATAACTTTGTTCAAATTCAAGCATATTTGTAAAATTACCTTAGATTTTTAATTTTTTATGGAATCACAAAATTCATGTTTGTTGCAATGATATTCAACACAACTTAAAAATGTCGCAATTTTTTTCTAACAAGTTAAAACATTATTAATGATAATATGCATATTAAAAAAACCCTCCTTAAAGTGCAAAAAATTTTATTTTATTTAAGTAAATATTACCTACTACAATTTTGATATTTTTGAGCTACCCTGTATGTTGTTTGACTTGCAACCATTCTAACTGCACCTAATATGATTATCAGATATGCACCAACTTTTGGCCTTGTTTGTATTTTGAATGTGCTATTACTAAAAAAAAATCCCATATGTTGCACACTTAAATAATCACACTGTATAATTTTTGTCGGCACTGTCTGGTCAGTGCAGAAAGTTTTCAGTCATCACTGTCTGGACAGTGCAGTAGTCATTCCCATTTCTTAATACTATCTCTAAATAATATTTTGCGATTTAAAATCATGGCAAATTCGAGATTAAGATGCTGCATTGTGGGTTGTTCTAATACGCCTCAAAGCAGAAGTGCGGAAGATGAACCCATAAGTTTTTATCCGTTTCCTTTGAACAGTATATACACACATTACAAACGAGAAAAACGTAACTTGTGGATAACAGCTATGAAAAAATTCACCTAAGTTAAGCTACTTACTTTTACTCTACTTTCAATGCATAATTCAATAGTTTTCAGTCAAAAATTCATTAAAAGGAGCACATAACCTCAACTGTTGTTTTGTTTTTAGGAAAAGTGGAGACAATTTTGAACCGGAGAAAAAAACTAAAATTTGTAGTGCTTATTTCATAGGAAATAAAAAATCAGAGCATCCACTTCCTCCGGCATACATTCCAACAGAGTCTTTCCTGGACAGGAAAAAAGAAAAAGCAGTGAGCAGTCGATTGCTAGATTTAAACGGCAACTAGTCCGTCAACATCAAAGGGAACTACACAATATTGATAACCAAATGGACTCTGAGGAAAATCAGTGCATTTCATCCGATATAGAGGATAAGATAGAATTTGAGGCATCTTCAGGAACGAAGATCACGAGTAGAAGTCTTAGTTGCCAAACAGAGTTGTGGAATGGTGAAGACTCGGGTGAAAATAAGGGTCATAATTTCCCAATATTGTTTTCTGCTGAGTCAATAACGGAATTTGTCATGCAGAAGTGCAAACAATTATTGTTGTGAAACGATCAGAGGACAAACAGACCAATCTCGATCTTCCCATGAAAATAGCAAATTGTAGATATATCAGTTCTGATCCTCTGGACTGATCCCTATATACGCGAATGTCCAGGCTTTCATGGTTTGAAATCAATAAAAAACGATATACAAATGAGCAGTTTAACAGGGGTATCGTTAAAATTGTTTCAGTTTTTAATTAATTATCTTCATTGCCTGAAGGGAAGTAAACTTGATCACAAAACCAAATTATTAATAACATTAATGAAACTGAAAACTGGCTTAACCTACACAGCTCTTGCAGTTATTTTTAATGTTCACATGACAACTGTGCAGCGTACATTTACAGAAACATTAGACTGTCTCTGCGTATTAACAAAAAAAATTACATTTTGGCCTTGTAAAGAAACTTCCAGAGGCATTAAAAGTGCATTTTCCAAATGCACGAGTCATAATAGACTATACTGAAGTGAAAACAGAGGTGCCAGCATCAGTAGAAAACCAAGTACTTATGTCTCCTCAATATAAACACAATCATACAGTCAAATTTCTAATAGGATGTAGCCCAAGTGGATTTGTTAGCTTTGTGTCACGATGTTATGGTGGTCGAGCTGGAAACTGTTTTATCACGATTTCAGGCCAGATGATGTAGTGTTGGCTGACAAAGGTTTTCTCAATATTGGTGCAGATTTGGAGAAGGCAAATGCAATCTTGCCAATCTTTGTCATGCCTCCATTCCTTTCTGCTGAACAATTTTCTGCAGAAGAAGTTGAAGAAACATACAACATAGCCTCGGCTCGCATTCATGTAGACCGCGTTATTCAGCGTGTAAAAGAGCTTTATATATTCAATAAGGCTCCTGCTCATTTGGTATCTCGTATGGATAAAATTGTGTCGGTAGTTTGTGCTTTGATAAATCTCGCAAAACCCATTATTCAAAATCCTAATTTATTATAATAATAAATATAATTATTGTATACATTGAAAGGATTGTATTGTTATTTAAAGAATTTTTTAGCGATTAACCGTTTGTAGCTGTGTTATAAACGGTAACTGAAAGTACATCATATTTTCAGTTACCGTTTATAACATGGTTACACACGGTTAGTCACTAAATAATCCTTTTAGTAATGAAATAAAATGGAACTCAAAATTTTGTTTATTCTAAATTGACAAACAGGAAACAGGTATGAAAGGTAGTGAGCAAATGTATTTTTGTATAGGTACGCTCCCAAACATAGCCATTTTGCGGACTCATTTCAGTCCGTAAAATGCTTAATTTTCGGCCTAGTCCCTAAAAGTCTTCAATCAGAATAGCTATTTTTGAAGCAAGTACCTAAAATAAGGTTCTCTAGGACGAATTCAAACTGACAAGGTTGCTATGACGACTTTTAGGAACTAGGTAGAAAATGGAACATTTTACGGCCTAGGCCGAAAATCAAGAGATTTACGGACTAGGCCGAAAATGAAGCATTTTACGGACTGAAATGGGTCCGCAAAATAGGTACCTAGCTATTTTTGGGGGCGTATGCAAAAAACAGTCAACAAACAAAATAAGAAAATAAATGAAACAAATCTCTTGTTAGAAAATAACCCTTCATTATTTTCAATTATTTGCCAATTTTGGTAGGTATATATTTACGTAAAGTGAAAGGCCTCCAATTTAATGATTACATCTCTTGAAAACATTTCATCTCTGGGCACCTTAACTAATGCGCTCCCTTTACTAGAATAAATGTATAAATCACAATTAGGAATATTGGTTACATACATCTGAATTTGCACTTGAGTGTAAATTTGGTTTGAGCGTTTCAGTTGCGCTCCATTTTCACCGATTGTTAAATAATTTACATTAAATATTTTTTCTTCTTCATCATAAATTGGTTTGTCTTGACATGTATATGGACACTTAACTTCTAACAGTCTTTTATCCATTATATTATTTCCCAAAATCACTACTCCATCTCGTGAGCCGGCTAACCACGGTTGGAGAAGCTTAATGATCAAACCCACTTTAACAATGTAACTTCCAGGTTCTAACCAATCAGTCTCGTACTGTCTAATTGCTGTACTTTCAGTCTTCGTTCCATAGATCATGGCAGCTGTCTTTATATTCTTGGTACCTACTCAGTAAATCTTCCACCAGCTTATTGACATTACGGGAATTTGCTTTTGCCCTATGACTTATACTTACAGTGATACGATAACGTCGCTCTTTATACCACTTGTCATCAGCACTTTGCTGAATGGTTTCTGTAGCAATACAGAATGCAGTGTCGGAAGTACAATAACATTCCTTTCATTATACTCCCAAACCTTCTGACTGAGCTTGTAGTTTTTTGAGTAGGGTACACTAAAATACTATTGCATTAATATTTCTTTAACAACACTTGAATTGAAGCTTGTACGATCAATTGTTGTTTTTCTGTGAGTCGTCGTATATCAAGAAGTGTTTGAGCAGCGACAATTTCTTCATTATGAAGTTCCTCCAATTTTGCATAAACATATAGCGGTGTACCTGACAGGTTTTCCAATGATGAAGAACACAACGGAATGGGCACCATCACTGAGGCTTTTTTTATCCAAAGATGGTTCATTATAAAGGGTATTCATTCGTGCTCTTTTATCATACTCTAACAATTGTCTTTTTGATGGTTTACCCCATTGTTGAGAGAAGCTTGTCTTGGAAGTTGGGCTTTCATCAGAATTAACAAAAACAATAACCGCGCAAATATGCTTATATTGGCCAGATTTTCCAGCTTGCAGGTACAAAAAGCTACTTGAAAAACTCTGTCTTCATTTACCTAAAAAAACACAAGAAAATTTAGAATTTTAAACTTCAATGACCAATGTGATTAAATTAGATATAGATTTGTGACTAGAATAAATAGATAAAGTTTGACTGCTAATAATTTTTGAAATTAATGCGTTAAGTATTTCTTATTTGTGAATTGGGAACACACATGTTTTTATAATTTAATTTAAGCTAATTGTATTTCAGATAGCGTAGGATTTTTAGATTGAATGTTGAATATTGGACTGATGTTTGTGCTTTTAGCTTTGAATTTTTGTGTGTTGTATTTTTTTATATTTAATCTTTATTTTGATTTTTGTGTCCACTTAATGATTTTTTTTATTATAGTTTATTTAAGACTTAGCTTTGTCAATAAGAGTCAGTGTCGAGTTTGACAATAAACCATGCTTACTAAAGAATAATAATAAAGGAAATGTAATAATGCTGAGAAAAATATTTACCATTATTTTAACTGCATATTGCATATTGCACTGACTCTCTTGTTTGGGCCACCACTTTTGAGGATATGGCCACTTCCTTCTCTCCTCGTTTTTCAACCTCAGTTACATCTAAAACTTGACCGGCCTCCACCAACTTCGACCCTTTCTTAAAATTTTGACCCCTTTCTATGCTGTGTACAATTGGACGAAATCCATATTCTATTATATTTAACATTTTTATGTTTATAAAATTTCCTATCTATGATTTTTGAATAATCTTATCTTTACTTAAAATCGAAGAATCTCTGAATTTGATATTATTTGAAAATTTAAATTTGAATTTAAACTAACGATTCGAGAACACTTCCGTATAATTTTTGTTTCTCAAAGCTACACCAGGCGGCGATGTAGTCGGCATCTAATCCTTGCAACTGGTCAAAAATGCTAGGGTATATAGAGGAACCATATAGAAGTAGTTTCAGATAGGACACCGATAGTCGGGAGTGCGTCGTTTCCAAAATACAGGGTGTTGAAATTTAAACAACCCCCTTTCATATCATCTGAAGGGCTAATGCTAGGCTGTTCAAATTTTAGGGATGATATTTAAGAATTCGTATAATGCACCCCCCCTTCTCTACCTGGAACCCCCCAAAAAAAAAAAATTGAAATAAATTGCATTTTTTTTGGGTGGTTCCAGGTAGAAAATAGGGGTGCAGTATACGAATTTTTAAATACCATTCCTACATCAATAATCCCTGAAAATTTGAACAGTCTAGCATTAGCCCTTCAGATGATATGAAAGGGGGTTTTTTAAATTTCAACACCCTGTATTTTGCAAACGACGCACTTCCGACCATCGGTGTCCTGTCTCAAACTACTTCCCTATGGTTCCTCCATATACCCTAGCATTTCTGACCAGTTGAACGGCGACACCCTGTACATAGGTACCTTTATGGTTGCAAAACAAGAAAATTTCTGCCCGACTTGGTAGTAAATATACTTCAGTGTACCTACATAAGACATCATAAGGTAATCACAAATTGGGATTGGCATTTCCCAATGTAGAAATTTTTAATAAAAACGCATCGGCGTGAAACTTCTATTTCTATCACGAAAACCACCCATAAAAACCTGTAACGAGGGCAGACAGACCAAAAGTGGCCGTTCAGGAAGCGGCCGAGTGCGACCATTAAACGTAACTCGAATGACCAATTTGGCTGCGGCGCCGCGTGTATTTTAGCAAATTTTATGTATTTGTCTTCACGACTTAACTTTACTTGCGTGATGCATGGATTTCCGGCAAGAAACACTTCGCACATGCACTTAATGCACTACGAATTCGCATTGTAATAGACGGAGTGTTGAGATTTTGGCTGCACACGGATTGATTGAAATTTTGTTTATATGGAAGTTATTTGTGAAGATAATTAATTACGCATTATATCTATGTTGTTATATGTAGAAAACTATCCCATAATTCGTGGTAATACGGCACGAAACTTCCCATGGTACCTAGGTACCTACATTGACAAAAGAGCTAAGTAATTTCTTAACTTATGAGCTTGTTGCGGCGCAAATTATGTTTGAAACAAATCATTTAGGTAGAGGCATTGGACATGTCATTTTGTAGTTTCTGATTGCTGTTTGCCATAAGAGGAAAATTTGGATTTTTAAAAATAATACAAATAGGGATGCCGTGTCAGATGCGTATTTTGATAAATTTATAGAGACAGCACAGCCTTATGACAATATTCCTTTGGGATTGTTTTAAACATAGTGAAAATATTGCTGCGTAAGCTGGTTCGTAGTGAAACTACTCACTCAAATAAATTTTATTGAAATCAATTATCCAAAAATCGGCAAAACTAGCACTTCACTACAGAACTTTTTGGATTTGGTACCTACATGATAAATCAGCCGACTGGTGCTGCAGGATATAGCCGAACCCTGAAAATATAATATATTTTCCAGCTAAACAAGAGCTGCAGGTTGTACAGTTTAAAGCTTCTTCCTGTCACTTAAGTAATTAAACTTATTCTATCACTTTTTAAATCGCAACCATATACACATTTTTGATTAATGTGTCGCCTATTTCAACTAAGCACATACTTTGCAATTGCGAATGGTAAATATTAGTGCTGACTTCCCTGTTTCCCAGACACTGGTACCATCCACTGGCAGGTGATGAATTGCAAATTATCTAGGAAGTGTCTCTAATGAAAGGGAGGCGCCAAAACGCACATTTTAACCCAATCAAACTGATATGTTTACGTTTTCTGGCCTAAACGCAATCATTGATGTCTAATCGGATACCTACTAATAATAGGCAAGCATACTTTATTTAATTTTACTGAATACATGAATTTCAATCAGTAGGTAGTATGCTAATTCTAATATTTGCCTTCCTGATCCCGAATGTATGGGTAGTCTCCTCAGCTCTATATTAATTACCTAGAAGCATAGCAGCATAGAATCATTAGTACTTGTAATAAATACCAAAAAATTTAATAGCTGCACGTATAATCTCAATACTCAATTACTTAATCAGGGGCGTAGCTACCGCGGTATCCGCCGTAGTAATGATACGGGGCCACGGAGCTAGAGGGATCCGCAAATGTAGATTTGTTTTTTCTCATTCAGTATTTTGCTGAATAAATCTATACCCCAAGAGTTGCATGCCATTGTCAGATTTATCACTGGCAATAGAAAAAGAAGGACTTGCCAAACTAAAATCTGCCTAAGCTGTAGGTAATATTAATATAATATTATTACCTATATTAATAGACACCTACCAGTAAACTTAGTTACGTCAGTTTGAATGTTATTGGCCATTATACATAATTGTAATATAAAAGCTTTTCCTATAAACCTATGTTATAAAATAAAACAATCAAGGATTTGAATTTGTTGGCTGAAAAAAGGGAAGAAAAGTAGCTATATAAGAAGTGTCACATTCTGGATTCTTGTCTTGTTCCTACATTCTTAAAACATGTTTTGATATATGCGAATACATTGCACTAAAAATTTAATCGAAAAAATATTTTGCGTTCTTCACCTGCTCTTTGCTGCCTTTTTCAGGCTCTTGAAAGGGGCATTATTTTTGAATGCTCACGCTTTTGCCGCCACCTCAATAATTATCCAATCAACAAAATGTTGTTACATGTGGTGCTGCCAGCTTTTTAAACCTAACATCCGCCATTCAAATGTCATCTGTTGTATTGATAAAATTTATCCTTTTCTCCAACTTTATTTGTTACCTTACTATTATTGATAATAATAAGCAGAACCCTTTATGACGTCAGAAAGGATTTTGTTTGAATGTAGTCCCGTTTTCAAAAATTAATATAAAAAAAAAGTAGGGAACGCAGAAAAAAAAGAAAAGAACATTAAGAATAAGCGAGCAAAATACTATTCAATAGGGCAAAAAAAAAAAACGGAAACATGCTCATTGCCCAGTTTTTGGAAAAAAATGTCTCAATTGTTCACGTATTAACCATTTTACTCTGGTATCTAAAACCTGGAAACAAAATGATGCAAGAAAAAATGATAATGAAGAAAACACAAATTGAATCCCAAAATGATGGGAGTAAATGGAAATACGGAATTATCCAATTCATGGTTTTCTATAAATATCATAAATAATGCATATGACCAGCAGTGGGGTAACAAGTAGTAGGGGTCTAACTAATATTAGGTATTTGAAATTTGAAATAAACGTCAAAGGTATAATAAACGTTGCGAGTGAATCTAAAAATATCTGAAAGATAAAGTGAAAGGAAATCCAAGTGCTAGTGTTTAAATGGTTACAAATTTAGAGCAGTGAAGAGCTCCAAAAAGTAGCTTTTTTTTTGAGAAAGTTTTTG